CTCCTTAAATATGGCGCTAATCAAGATTTGTAGGGTTTTAAGGAGCCAAAAAAAATGTCCCTATGAAATTGCCCAAACCCATTAGTTTTCGGCTGGAGGGTATAAAAATCTTTAAATCGTTTAATCTCCGTAAATATTGCTCGATTAGAGCCATATTTAAGGAGATAAAACGATTTAAAGTTTTTTATGCCCGCCAGCTTGAAAATAATGGTTTGAGACATTTTTGTTTTGTTTTTTGAAATAAATTTTGACGCCTCAAAACCCTCCAAATCTCGATTAGAGCCATATTTAAGTAGATAAATCTATTTAAAGTTAAGCTTGAAAATAATGGGTTGGAACATTTTAATTATTATAAATTTTGTTTTTACACTTAAAAACCCTCCAAATCTCAATTAGAGCCATATTTAAGGAGATATCTCGATTTAAAGATTTTTAAACCCGCCAGCTGTAAACAAATTATTAGGGAAAAATTTTTGAGATTTTTTTTTTTTGAAACTTAAAAACCCTCCAAATCTCGTTATTTCAGATATTTGGAGGGTTTTTAAGTTTAAAAAAAAAATCCCAAAAAATGTCCCTAACAATTTGTTTGAGACTGGTGGGTTTAAAAATCTTTAAATCAAGATATCTTTTTAATTATGGCGCTAATCGAGATTTGGAGGGTTTTTAAGTGGCTCTAATCGAGCAATATTTACGGAGATAAAACGATTTAAAGATTTTTACACCCTCCAGCCCAAAACTAATGGGTTGGGACAATTTCTTTGGGAATATATTTCGACTCCTAAAAACCCTCCAAATCTTGATTAGAGCCATATTTAAGGATACATAGGACATGATTTTCAGCCTGGCGGGTATAAAAAACTTTAAATCGATTTTCCTCCTTATATATGGCTCTAATGGAGATTTGGAGTGTTTTAATGTCAAAAAAAAAATTCCCAAAAAAAATGTCCCATCCCATTATTTTCAGGCTGGAGGGTATAAAAATCTTTAAATCGATTTATCTCCGTATATATGGCTCTTATCGAGATTTGAAGGGTTATAAGGTGTCAAAAATATTGTTCCTCAAAAAAATGTCCCAACCCATTATTTTCAGGCTGGCGGGTATAAAAATCTTTAAATCGATTTATCTCCTTAAATATAGCTCTAATCAAGATTTAAAGGGTTTTTAAGTGTAAAAAAAAATTCCCAAAAATAAAATGTTCCAACCCATTATTTTCAGGCTGGCGGGTATAAAAAAAAAATGTAAATCGATTTATCTCCTTAAATATGGCTCTAATCAAGATATGGAGTGTTTTAGTATTAAAAAAAAATTTAAAAAAAAATTGTCCCAACCCATTATTTTCAAGCTGGCGGGAATAAAAATCTTTAAATGAATTTATCTCCTTAAATATGGCTCTATTCGAGATTTGGGGGTTTTTAGGTGTCAATTTTTTTTTTCCCAAAAAAATATGTTCCAACCCATTATTTTCAGGCTGGCGGGTTTTCCCAAAAAAAAAAGTCCATACCCATTATTTTTAGGCTGGAGGGTATAAAAAAATTTAAATCAATTTTTCTCAGAGGGTTTTTAAGTTTCAAAAAAAAATCTCTTAAAATGTCCCTAACCATTTGTTTAAGGCTGGTGAGTTTTTAAAAATCTTTAAATCGATTTATCTCCTTAAATATGGCTCTTATCGAGATTTGGAGGGTTTTTAAATGTCAAATAAAGTTCCAAAAAATGCCCCGACCCAGAAATGTCCCAATTTTCAGGCTGGTGGGTATAAAAATCTTTAAATCAAGATTTGGAGCGTTTTTAGGTGCCAAAAAAAATCCCAAAAATAAAATGTGCCAACCCATTATTTTCAAGCTGGCGGGAATAATAAACTTTAAATCAATTTATCTCCTTATTTATGGCTCTTATCGAGATTTTGAGGGTTTTTAGGTGTCAATTTTTTTTTCTAAAAAAAAAAGATTCCCAACTTATTATTTTCAGGCTGTTGGGTGTAAAAATCTTTAAATCAATTTATCTCCTTAACTATGGCTCTAATCGAGATTTGGTTTTCAAGTGTCAAAATAAAAATTCCCAAAAATAAAATGGCCAACCCATTATTTTCAAGCTGGCGGGAATAAAAATCTTTAAATCGATTTATCGCCTTAAATATGGCTCTAATCGAGATTTGGAGGGTTTTTAGGTGTCCAAATTTTTTCCCTAGAAAAATATCAATATCAATAGGTCAATACTGAAAAAAACACAAATATCAAACAAATTTCAATAGTGAGCAATATTATCACCGATTACCTGCAAACAGCGCATTCCCTAACACAGATCTCATTCAATCACCGTGTGTGGTGGTGTCCGGTCGGTCGTCAGTTGCAGTGCTTTCAGTGCGTGGCGTTGAACATTGTACACAACGAAAAGCTGCCCAAAAGCTGCAGCTCACATGAGTGGTCATTCATCGAAGAAGGAGGAAGAAGCCTCACCGCTACTGATCGGGATCCATCTTCGTGAGTCGCTGTGGGCCATCTATGCCAAGCGCGTCACCCTCGTTCCAAACAACATACAGCCTCATCCGCGTTGAACACCCTAATAGCCCAGCATTACTCAACCATCACGACTAAACGGTCCTTTTCAGGACCACCATAAATTTGTTAAAGAGTATGTTTGGGACATTGTTCAAGGTCATCAATCGCATGTCAATTAACTGAAAAGAATACCCATATGTTTAAATTTAACATAACATATATTTTTAAGGCAACATTCGCAGGGCAATTTCAGAATCCAAAGTCGGTCGCGGCATGAAAGTGGTCACTTTCCAATGTACAGTTTTAAATGATGGTTACATGATTGTTACTTCGGTCATTTGGACTGCCTAAGATGATTGGTGCTCATTTTCTAAAGGCGGGCCCAATCTAAAGTTAGGTGCTCTACTCTGAAATCTGTGAAAAGGAATCTAGTATCATGTAGAACAAAACGTCCAATGTAACATTCATTGATTATGTCATTGAGAAAAACCGTCCAATGTAACGAATGTAGCGAATAGCCCTTCTACCACTATCGCGAATCATCATTTCGGTGCTCACACTCTAATTCAATTGGCGTTGACGGCATCTTCGAAAAAACCGTGTCTTCTAACAATTTAGCGAACTTAGAGCGATTACATTCGAAAAAATCACTGTCACTGATAGTTGAGTGTCAAACAGTGATGTTATTATCTTGTTAAATCGTGATTTAAAACTCGAGATAAAAGTCTGTGGGATCGAAAAAATATCGTTGTGCTCAGAAAACAAAGCTTTTTCAGATGAAAAAAACAGATTTCAATTTGGCATTGTCTAAAGGAATCTTTATCAGCTATTCAAAAATCACATCCCTGTTTCGGAAACTTTCGAAAGTTAGTGCAAAAGTGTGGTTTTTGATATCAAGTCTAATGAAAAAAAATATTCGACGCAAATACAAGCGTGGCATCGAAGTAGGCTATGACAATCGGTAATTAAATTGTAAGCAAATAACAGTCAATTATGTTTTTACGCTATTTTATTTTTTTATTTTGCCCTTATGCAGGATGGGTACACATTTTTTAATTCCATCATATTATTCTTGGTTTTTTATGTTTTGAAACATGTTGCATTACACTTGTTAGAAATTTGAGATTACACGATTAAAATAGAGTAGAAAAAAAAATCGCGTTACAGAATTGAGTGTAATACAATAAAAATGTCTCATGCTGAATTTTATTTCAAAACACATTTTGATCATTTCCTTGAGAGTAACCGTTCTCGAATTTGGCCAAGTTGAAATATAATTGAAATTATCATATTAGAGATAACTGAAAGCATCTTTAGTCCGGGAATTAGAAGGTGCTGGCTCTACTGTTGATCCAGAAACCCATTTTAAAATGTTTGATAATTCATACCAATTCCGAAGTCACTTTCAGAAGCCATAAGCTCCACATGTCAACAGTTCCGATATCACATGGCTAATGGAACTGCAAGCACACCTTCAGATTCAGATCAATGCTTTGAATCCAGTGCGTATTTAATAAGGCATGATGTAAAACACGATTGGGAATATCCATTGTCAGTAAAATGGATCCTGTCATAAGACATTATTGTCGCCATCGTCCTCCTCCTCTTTCATGTAGATGCTTTTTTCGTAGCAGCACACATCAAAAGTTCTATTCAAAGACACCAATTCTTTACTATATAGCTTTAGATATTTATAAGAAAATGCAAAAATATTTGAAAAAAGTGACAGAAGTCAACGAAAAAACGGCGACCGAAAAAAAAAACAATTCCATCCGCGAGCACAGCACACTGCGAAGCATTCGATCGTTAAACATTTAATTTTATATGCAAAAACGTACTCCAGATTATAGATGAAAATTTCAAAATATTTTTATGTGTGAAACTAAAATTGAATGCTTCTCTCAGAACCGTCGATAAATGGTTGCAATCGAAGACTCTCGACGCAATCCATTATGTGAGCTATTTGTGTCTACCCATCCATATTCTGCAGTGACCGCTATACGGCAGCCAGATCAAGCGCACTGTTCGCCACAGCCACGAGACTAACGATGGTCAAACAAAACAGAAGGAGAATGTAAAGTGGCTTTTAAGATTGCTCTCGTAGTAGTTTGCATTGAAATTACATTTCTGCTTTTTATTCTTTTCTCCTGTGCATATGTAGGAACCTACTTGAAAGTCCGTTTTTATCCATGCTGAACAAATCCAAAAAACCATCCAGTAGGTGACTTGACGAGATAGAAAGAAGATAAGCGGATGCTGTGCTATACTCGGCCACTCCATATTCCAGTTTATAACTTACCTTTTGTCCATTCATCGGACGATTTGAATGATAACGACAATATTCACTGCGGTACGAGGGATTGTTGTTTATGCCACTCGCATACAAACAACTTAAATAACAGCCAGTAGACTCCGTGGGCGGCTCATGCTGTTAAAAGACAGCTCACAAATGATGACGTTAGAGGTGGACGGATATGTTCCACTACTATTATTGTCAGATTAATTCGAGATGAGTGCGAACGGATCTACCGACTGCCAAAAATAGTGCACACGGATTATCTACATGAGAGATTATCGTAGGGCTCAACCCTTCCCAAGGTGCAATGGAAGAGCCTCACTCTGGGGGAAACGGCTTGTTGATCACGGTAACCCCTGTGCAAGGTAAGCTTGCTTGATAGACCGTCGATCGGTCTCGTGAGGTGCCTTCTTCTATCGATGGATATGCATAGTTATGTCGTTAATTTTAATAAGAAAATTCCACGTGAAATATTTCACGGGCTATGAGATCAACCCAAATTTAAAATTAATATTGAATTTAAAATATTTTTGGTTTGCGTGCAGAGATGTGCAGAATATAAACCCATCACAATATTGCTGATCCACCAAAAACTTCTCATGTGCAAGGGTCACTGAGCTTAGAGAGAAAGAATCACTTCTACTCAGCCCTGAGTTCCTGTAGTGTATAGAAATTTCTCCATACCTCTGAATAGAAGTGACTCTCTCTTTGAAAATAACGGCCGTGTGGTTGAGTAATCAAGAAGAAGAAGAGTCAGAATCTCAGTTGTCATACTGCTGTAAACTTTAAAAATCTCAAAGTAAAAACAACACAATTATTATATTATATTAATAACCGGCAAATGAGCAGTTCCACACAGATTCGCAAATCGTTTCGGATCGATTTTTTACGATTATGATGAAACTTTGCACTGTTGCTTGTTATTGCCCCACATGCCATTTTACATATGTGGTTCCTTAGTTTTGCACACGACTAACACTTGAAAAGGGCTTATGCAAAAATGATACGCATCAATAGAAAAATATATATCTCGTGAACGATTTGTTTGATCGAGATTGTGTCTTAGAAGTATTGTGCCTTCCAAGAAAAAATATACACTGAAAAAAAAATATAATTTTGTTTACAAAAAAAAATCAAAATTATCAAAAAAAAATTAAAATTACTCAAATTGCATATTTTTATTAAATTATTTTTTTATATTTATTTTGTAGTTTAGATAAAGTTATACTTACTGACACTGAAAATGATATGATTGAAAATGTGTCAGGTAAATTCTATATGAATATCCGATACATTTACAATGCTCATAATTTGGTAACATTTATATGATCGTCATATGATAAATGAAAATCGGTCAAATTATAATAATTAACTGAAATGGATTTGAAACCCATAAGCATAAGCTTTACTTTTCACCACAATATAATATATGTGTCATAAATCAATCGAAGTAAAGTTTATGTGAAAATCACATGAAACATACTGCTTCTTTTGACACATATATTTAATCGATTTCTAAAAATAAATCGAAAAATAAACATCAGGCAGTGGGAGCTTTAACAGTTGTGTCTTTTTTTTTATTGTAGCTGATTTGGGATTCGATCCAGAACTGTTGAGGTGTGATGCTTTCGGTGTCTGTGCTCGATTCCATTGGGCCACGGCTGACTTTAAGATTGAGCTCGTTCAATTAGCATGAAGTAAGAACAGCTCTCCCAACATGGAATGTAGTGCAACGTTATGCTCGTTTTGCTAGAGTGAAGCAAAATAACACTGACAAATTTATGCTCCGTTTCGGTGGTGTCGTGTATTCAAATCTTTCTTAATGCTCCTGTGTGCAATAAAACAACGACTACATTATATGAGTTCATGGAACTCGTTCATGACACTCGAGTGTGAAGATTTACAATTAGAATCTTAGCTAATTAAATATTGCAGTAGAATCATTTTTTTCAATCTCAATACATTCTTTTCCCGAACCCCTTATCTTATGAAACAATAACAAACAAAGATTATTCAATACAGCCTCATTGTTGTTAGTAATATTTAGTTCAACTAATCATTTTAATGAGTGTACGATAACATCGTTGAAAATTGTTTCAATAATTTATAAAGAACAATCATGTAAGATGTATTTTAATGGGAGCGATATTCATCCCAGAAAACCATGCCAAAACAAATGTTTGCTGTTGGATTTATTAAAAGGCAAATCTACATGACTATCTAATGATTGGGATAGATCTGTTTACAATCTTTATACATCAAAAATCAAAGGAAGCTATTCCAATGAGATATATATGTTTTCCTGTACTGCAAAGTTAAATGACAATCCAATAGTTTCTACATGTCTGTTTACACGCGACATATCAACAAACGTCAAAAATCGTTAAAAGCAACTCCAATAAAATATACATGCCTATCTTATAAGATATATCTTTTAGTGAGCAATATTCTTCATGAAATCAGGTATATTTTACTGAGTTTTCTCATAGTGCAAATTTATATGATTTTCCATTAGTTTCTAGATATCTGTTCCCACCCATGACATATCAACAGTTTTTCACCATGAAATATATCAGACAATATTCATATACTTTTTACCTATCGCTAACCACGTTCGAAGTATTATCAAGTACTAAGTATGTGAAATTATGATAGAAATCATTCCATATCGCAGTCATAGTTTTTAAGTGATAATCCAATGGAATCTATCAATCATCACATAGAATGAATAAATCTGCTGACATTGCTATGTTATCAGATGGATCCAATAAACGGTACATGTCGATTTGTTTCAGTGCAGGTACACAGAGGTACACGGTAAGAAAAAAGATCCCAAAGTGATTCATTTTCACAAATCTCGGCACTATATTCCAGGCAGCCAAAAGTAGGTAATGTGGGTCGAAGAGTTTTCATTTGATTGTGTTCAATTAGTATGGAATTGACATTTCGCTTCTACCCAAAAATAGTTAGTTGTACACCCGAAAGTAGGTGAATATGATTATACTCAAAGTCAAAAGTAGGCAAAAATGAACTGGCCGCTGGATATGTTTTCTTATCGTGTATGTTTTTATATTTGAACCATCCTTTTGCCGCCTTTTGCAAATCAGCTGATGGCTTCGAGCAGTGCAACCAGAACGACACATATGTTTTCTATAGAAGATTTCTAAGTTCATTTACTTTCATTTTCTGTCTTGAGAAACAAAATAAGAAATTGGGTTCTTTAATTTTGAAAAATATATCGGTTTTTATATATCATCTGAAAGAGCTTCGTTTTCTGAGCACAGCGATATTTTTTTCGAACGCATACACTTTCATCTCAATTTTTAAATCAATATTTAAAGCAAAATAATAACATCACTGTTTGACACTAAACTGACAAACTGACAGCTCGCTCCCATACAAAGTGACACCGAGGGGCGCTAATAAGTTGATTTTTGCAAATGTAATCATTCTTATTTAAAATAGTTCCAGTGTACCAAAATTGATGAAATTTTGGGTTTGGATTCCATTTCTAATGCAGATTACGAATATGCATTTACCTCAACACCCTTAAAGAACCCTATTGTTTTAAACATTTATTAGTGATGGTTTCTAAATTGAACACAGTTTAAGCACCTTAAAAAGCAATGAAAGCATTGTTTTTATACACCATGTTTCAATTAAATCGACAACACTGGATACGATGATAGATGATTCGTACACACCTTCGTAATGCGGTGTGTAGAAAAAGGTAAACAAAACAGTTTCAGCTTGCAAAATTATTCACGGCTCGCGTTTTTAACGATGCAAATGATATTATTTAAGTAAATATCGACTTTAAAAGTGAATTAACTTGAATGTGCTTGTGTGCACGTGTCGAAATTGTTTTTAGTGTGGTTCTGAGAAGTGGAAGCTAGTGAAAACAGTTATTTGAATGTCATGCCCTGTGCAGAACAAAATCGGCTGATTGTACTTTTTAATGCAAATATTACCAATGCGTGAATGAATTGGCACTATTTTGGTGGAAAAGTATTAAAATATATATCCAGATCTTATTCATACAATTCAGGCCCATTTTTTAAGACATGTAATTAGTAATTTACTGTTTTATAGGAAGATGTCTTTCGTACGCGTACCAAAACACGTTTATTTAATGATTGTAGAGACAGCCATTGTAGCATGACGTGCCATATCACCTTAATAAAGAGGAAAAAATTAACAAATGAGGTTGTGCTCAAAGAATACCAAGCTGGGGGCAGGCGTAAAGTTGCAGTTCAGACATAATAACCAAAGAAGAAGAGTTTGGCTAGTTTGGCAATGACAAAGAAAATAGGTTACGTTAGGTTTTCTTTATTAAAGAGGCTTTCAGCCTGGGGCTGGTTCGCCTCCGCACAAAGAAACTATGCTTGAACGAGTCTTGACCATTTAATTCTGCATAGCTAAATTTGTTTTTCGTGGCTTTCAATTTTATCCCACTGTAGGGGAATCCCACCTATTTTGATCATGTTTTAATTTTTTTTTTCCCGGTTTTACTTGTTTGAGATCTTAAGATGTGTTTACACTGCACTGAAACAAAATCCATTGGTAAAAATACTATATTGCTGGTTTAAATTAAATACCCTCACCAATAGATTTGTGCAGAAAACAATTTCATTTAATTTTACCATTATTTCTATCAAAATTACTATGCATTTTGACCAAGCATAGTAGTTTTGCCAGAATCATAGTAAATTTATTAACATTCATTGTCAACTATACTGAATTCATAGTAGATCTAACGGTAATAAGCATGGTTATATTGAGAATAAGTGTTTTCTGCAAAATAGTATTTCTAACTATGGTCCTTGTTTCAGTGTGGTGATTTAAATCTTATTTACCAGGATACATATATATATAACGCCCACAAAACGCACGAATATTATGGTTTAAACGTTTTTCTGAGTTATGGTCAAAATAGGAAACTATGGCCAAAATCGGTGCACTTACCCTACTGATGGTTGCATATCGTAGTCGAAATACGTATCAGTCATCATCGATACAAATAGGTAGGATTTTGGATCATTGTAAGCAAGGTTGCTTCGACTCATTTCGCTATAGAAAATGTACTCATACCACTAAATGCAATGTTCAAAATACATCCAGGCAGCCCAGCCCATCAATCCATTTAGCACGAATGCAAAGAAACACACCTATGTGTGCATACGGTGGACAAGTCTTATTTTTCTTTCAATCGGACGAACCGTTGCAAACCCGTTGAATGGCAAAAGCGGGAGCTCAAATCAAATACACACTCGTCGAGATCTGTCGCCTTTGATCGTCGTTCGGGAAGAAGTAGAACGTGCAATAAAAACAAGACAAACAGAAAAAAACGACTCTTGGAAAGTTGTTTTAGCA